AGCAGGGAGGCTTCATTGAAAGGTCAGAGGTCATGAAATTTTACATTTAGGTCTTGGCTATGCTAACAGAGTTATATAGTCCATTATGATTTAATTATGCTTTAAATCTGTCCACTTAAGCATACTTCTTGTTAAAATAGTATATTAATATTCAATATATATTTATATATTCCAAAAGAAAATAGACATTGGTCCGAAGGAGGGTGTCTTATCCTTATTCGTCTGTTTTTTTCTTGATTTAAAATGTTAAAATGACTATACAGTGTTAATTTGAGGTATTATTTGTTTAACATCTTCATTTGTAGGCACTATTTTAGTTTTGTCCAAATCTGTCCAAAAAAAAGGCAGCAATTTCCATTATTTTGTTCATGACTGTAGTTTATGTATGCATGTTGTGCTTTGTGCTAATTTGCATGTTAGCGCGCTAAACCAAGATGGTGAACATTAAACTGTGTCGCGCTTCAGGTTAGTCTTGCTCCTGCAAACATGCTGACATCAGCAGGTAGCTGCGACCGCTGTGCACGGTCTCAACAGGCCACTGGAGCGGCCGGGTCCGGTTTATTTGTCATTTTCACTGCTTCGAGGGCCACAAACAAAATTCCACTCGCCGCCTTCGTAATGGTGCGGAGACAGAAAACAGGATTTTCTGGTAACGACACCGGCGCTTTATTATCTAATACAACTGGGAACTAATGGCACATCAACCACTGCACGCACGCTTGCCTCCGTCATATTATTTGGCATTACACCGCATTACTTTTCCCACATCTCTCCTTAATTCACTGTGCTGCTCCCATGATTGGCATCTGATCTGCTCTAATTACCAGCTGATGTTTGGTAAATCTGCGCGGCTCTTTATTGTTGGAGGAGGGATTAGCTTCATCCTGTCTCGACACTCTCTTTCAGTCGACACAAATATCATTTATGCATCTGCGTGCGCTCTCTCTCTCACGCGCTCGCTCTCGCTCAGTCGGTCCTTTTGTTTCCTCTCTGCTCAACTGAAAACCTCACTTTTCCACGTTGAAATATAATTCTCTTTCAATTTATGTTGCATCATGTCACAAACTAATTGCGTGCTTTGTGGCTACGAGCGGCGCGTAATACCTGAATTTTTTGTGGGGATTCCACCTTAATATACAGTCCATAAGCCTTCATAAGCCTTCATAAGTCTGTCTGTAACGCCGCCTCGGGCACTGTCTTACAATCCAATTCTAGCTCCGTGTTTCTTTGCTAGAATTAACCCGTGAGTCATTTTTAACGCTAATTCAATAAAAGAGAACCTTTTAAACTATCTTGTGTCAAATGTGCCACACGTCGTGAGGCCTAAGGCGTCGCGCTAAACACGCCGAACAGGTCAGCATGCGAGTGTGAGAAGTGAGATTCCTGAGTGTGTGTGTGTGTGTGTGTGTGTGGGGGGAGGTATTACTTATGTTGTGGGGACCAAAATCTGCTTACGCAATCCTTATGAGGACAAAAGCGAGTCCCCACATGACATAAATCAAATTAAATAGACGCGTTTTAAGGTGGTAGTGAAGGATTAAGTAAGTCACGGTGATATGACTGTGTGTGTGCGTGTGTGTGTGTGTGTGTGTGTGTGTGTGTGTGTGGCGGAACCAGACAGACAACCTGACTCAACGTTGTCACTCCGCGCGGTGACTCAGAGAGCGACCGACCGACAGAACAAAGAGGTCAAACAGTCAAGCTGTTGTTGTGACTAATGCAAAATAAAGATGACTTATTAGCGGTAGCCGTAACGACCCCCGCGTCGGCCCCCGTCGGCGCTCTAACGACGTACGATCTGCACTTGATCCTTTCGCCCTCACTACGCCGAGGTCACATGTTGCTCAAAAATTCAGCTCTTCCCGTTTCCTCCTACATTCCTGAGTCTAATTGGTGACCGAAGCCGTTTCCCTGTTGTCTTTGCAGCAAGTTTAGTCAGCCAGCACACTCCCGTCCACTCCATTTGTGAAGGACCGTACGTAATTTCAGAATCTGATATGTATTTATTGTTTTTCCAGGCAGCCCTTGGTTACCAGTCATTGCACTCTGACATGAATATCAAGTGTCAGCCTGAAGAGACACGCCGAAGCTGCCTCGAAATAATCAATCACCTGCATTTGTTTTAGGGAGTTACGCAATCGTTCGAGCCTGCAGGAAACACTGACAAGAATGAATACTTGCAGACTTAAAGAAGCTTGTGAGCACGTCCGTATGGTGTTTGTTTTTTTTTAGTACTGACTAGGAACTAAGAGGTCAACACTACAGCTGAGCATTTCCACCTTGAAGCTGCAGCCTCAGGCTTCTGGGTGTGACTTTGCACTTTTTATAGGATATATTAGTGAGTGATAAATTAGGCTGTGGCATTGTGTAGGTGTGATTATCCCTGAAGTGAGCACAATGGGTGGACTTAGTGCAGGATATCTGGAGAAATTAGAACTTAGAACTGTTTTTGGGCTCCATTGATGGAAAGCACCAATGGAGCCCAGAGTTTGGCAGTGACTCATCCAATTTCAGCCCTTTAAATTCTAAAAACCTCTGTAGATGACTGCTGGACTTCTCTTTGGCTATTTCAAGAGCCTTCCGCTGATGCATTTAGGATTACCAAGACCTGAACGACTGAGATTATATACAGGTAATTCTTTAAATGCTGTATGATAAAGGTGTTGACAACCAAGAATCTCCTCAAATAGTCTGTCCTCTAAACAAGCGCTTGTTGTTGGTTTTTGGGCCTGCAAGGTGGTTTGGTGGTGAGCACCGTTGCCTCGCCGCTAGAAGGTTGCCGGTTCACGTCCCGGTGAGGACACCCAGGATCTTTGGGGTTGGCATGTTCTCCCCGTGCAGCGTGGGTTCTCTCCGGGTTCTTCCTCCCACAAGGTCCCAAAACATGTTGAGGTTAATTGGTGATTCTAAATTGTCCGTAAGTGTGAATGTGAGTGTGCTTGGTTGTCTGTCTCTAAGTGTAGCCCTGTGATAGACTGGTGACCTGTCCAGGTGAACCTGCCTTCACCCTGAGTCAGCTGGGATAGACTCCAGTCCCCCCGTAGACCCGAGTGAGGATTAAGCAGTGTACTGATAATGGATGGATGTTTAGTTGGCATGCTGGTGATGTGAACAGCCACAAGTTTTGGGCTGCACACAGACATGGTTCATGCAGAACCTTTCGGATTTGGGTGGATGATGAAATTTACATCATGCAGCATAAATTGGCCTCAAGACTGGCGTTACACTTTTCATGTCTGCTTGTACATTGGTGTCTGCGAATCCAAATCCATCCCAAGATGTGTGGCGAGCATGCTTTTATAAGGATGATAGTGCACATGCTTGGTGGTAGTGTGCATGTACAGAATACTTAGACATGGCTCATGTGCACAATCCTCAGAGTGGACTAGAGAAGTTATATAAAGCCAGTGTTATAGTTTGCGACACAAATGTCTAAAAGAAATCCACACGGACCCTGCACATATGTTTGTGTGCAGTCCAAAACGTGCGCCCACACAGGAACTACGCTTCAAGGGCAGCAGATCACATGCTTGGCAGTGCTGTGTATACATGGATACAACATACTGCCTGTTGGCACGCGTCCACTAACCAGCATCAGACGTTGAATAGGCAGTAAACCATGCCAGGCTACGCCCTCCGCAAACACCGGCTTCACCTGATTGAACAAACACTTCGGTCGCAGGCTGTCTGCTCCTGGAGTTCCACCTGGACCAGCGTGGCAGCTCGGTTGGGATTTTTTAAAAAAGCAGCTCAGCAAAACGTGTTTCTGAAAACGCCTGAGGGAAGAAATAAGCCATGAGGATGTGTCTTCATTTAAGATTCACAACGATTAAAGTTTTTCTGGAGGTCAAGGAGACGTCGAGCGGTGGGTGGACGGCCTCGATTTGTATAAAGTGACCAAGACCTCAACTTTATGGCCAACTTGAGGTGTGTGGTGCATCATGACACTACCAGAGTGTATTGCATACAGTTGTCCTCAAATTTATTCATACCCTGCCATCAAAGAAGGAACAAAAACAGCTGTCAATGAAATAAGCTGAAATGAACAGAAGTTATTATACTTTTTTTTTTGTGAAAATCATGACATTGCTTTTGAATTGTGGTTCAACAGAAATAAAAAAATAAAAATAAAAACAAGCATGATGGGACCCATTAACTAATATTTTGTTGAACAACCCTTTGCACTGCAATCAAGTGTTTTCTGTAACTCTCAGTCAGACTTCTGCACCTGTTGACAGGTATTTTGGACCTACTGCTCATCAGCAAAGTGCTCTAATTTGTCCTGCACATTATTTTTTTAATTATTATTTTCAACCACAATTCAAAAGCAACATCATATTTCACTAAATTATAATTTTGAAAATTTTTATTTATTATTACTTTTTTCAGTTTCTAGTTTTTTGAGTGACTATTGTGAATTTTGCCTTTTCTTTAATGGACGGGCATGAATACATTAGAGGAGTGCTCACATACATGGTGGAGAAGCACCATCATGGATTAGAAAAGTAGTGTAACAGCAAAATCATTCAGTTGTGCGTGTCCATACCAGAGTGTAGTCAAGGAATAAGAACTTTCAAGGCAGGGAAAAGATTAATATCACTGATAAAAATCTTGCAAACATGTGACAGAGGGAAGTTTTGCGGGGTTAAATCAACCGCTTTGGCGTGTCGGGCTTGTAAAAATGATTAAGTGTGATGTTGAGGCATAAAACGTGCAGCAGCAAAAACCCGCAGACTTCTCACCTCGGATCATCATTAATCACATCGCAATGTGGCCTTTGTTCCTCGTGGGTGTAGCCCGTGTCGCGAGGAAGGAGGAGGGGTGAGTGAGGGGCGGCGGGGGGCGTGTGCACGCGGGGGCGGGTACGTGCCGACGTCACGGCTCGGTCTTCGCTGTCAACGCCAAAATAAAAACGAGCGAAGAGGGAGAAAAAAAAAAAAACTTTTGTGTCGGACTCGTAAGGCTCAAAACACATGGCGGCGGCGGCGGCGGCGGCGGAGGCAGCAGCGGGGGGACGAGGCTGGAAGACGGGCCATTGTTCTCCGCGGCTGTAATGCTCGTTCGGGCCGGGCTGCTTTGTGGTGCGAAAGCAGGGGAGGCTGCGTTTTCTCTCTCTTCCCCCGGGGTCTCACGGGGAGAGCCAGCGGGCTCGGAGCAGCACTTTAGCCGACTTGCTAGCTAACGTCAAGTTGTGAGGAAAAAGTGGACGCGACGCCGGTGGAGGGAAGCTTTAGCCGCCTGGACAGACCTATGCGACGGATATAGCAGGTAACAGAGCTGCTTCTTCTTCTTCTTCTCCACCACCAGCAGACACGCTTTTGCCTTTTATCTCCTCAGACGGTTTCTCTCTCTCTGTGGCCGCGACGTAGCTCCGGAGAGGTTCCGACTTTTGACTGTTCCAACTCGTCCAACACCTGCTCGGCTCGTACTAGCCGGCAGCGTGTGTGATATTTAACCCGTTAACAGTTTATTATTATTATTATGCATTTGTGTGCCTCACGTTTGGACTCACTGCCACATATGTGCTTCACTCTGGGCGCCGGTTCCTCCTCCTTTCCTCCTCCTGATCCTCCAGATGAGGATTTATCAGTATTCATGTCATGATCCAGTCTTGCTTGTGCGGATTCGGTGTGATCGGGTTGGCCCAGGATTGCGCCTTAAACCCGGTGGTGCTGGTTGTAGCAATGCGGTAGACAGGGGGGGCCGGTTTGGGTTTCCAAATGAACAGGGGAGGGGAGGGAGAAATTGAACCGCTATTATTTATGTTTGGTCGATATGTCACGGGGTCACGGTTTGCTGACAGCAGCAGGATCAGTCCGGCAGGAACAAGGTCAAACGTGGAAGGCAGGGAGCAGCTCTCCTGTCCGGCGGGGCTGTCAACCGCAGTGAGGAGGGCTCCGAGTTCCTCCCATGGGGCCAGCAGGAGACCGGCCTGCCAGGTGAAGAATGACAATGAATTATTCAGGCACATGCTGCATATGATCAACGTGGCCCAGGAATGTGCAGAGCTGCTGCTGCTGCTGCTGCTGCTGGTGGGGACAATAAGAGGCTCTCAGGGTGGTGTGGCCGGCCTCCCCTCCACCACCACCACCACCACCACCACCACCTCTACAACAAGAATGGCCTGCCTCAGCGTCCTCCTTTGCCAGTTTTCTAGAGAATGGGGCATTTGGAGAGGACTTCTGGCAGATTGGTGGTGTATTTTCAAAGTGATCTGTTTTTGAAGTTTTAACTCTGCCAGTGTGTCTGATGCTCAAGTGGAAAATCGTCCAGAAGATTACCTCTGGTGGCTCCGAGCAAAGCTGTAATCTTCATGGCAGCATTTAGATTTTGTTTGGTTTTTCCCGCTTGTGGCACTTTGTCTTGAGGTGCTTTTGTTTTTCTTTGGGCAGCTCGTGTTTTACTCAACAGTGCGTATGCATGACATTGGGCATTTTGGAGTAAAAATAGAACTTAATGTCGGGGACATGCCTAAAGTGTCATGTGCTGCACAGAGGTTAAACCACTTAGGTTGCTTTGCAAACATTTCGCAAAATGTACGCCTGCATCACTCTTCTGTTCGCCGATCAGTGGTAATCTTTGCCTTGTGCAATGCAATTTTGTGGGTATAAGTAGTTTTAAGTAGCTTGCTTTGTGTTCTGTGATTAAATCAGTGTTGCGGTGCATTAATCAGGCCAGAGTCCAAACCAGAGTCCGGACCAGCGTATGTGGCAATAGCAAGCGAGAGATCGATATGAGAGCACACTGTCATATCCGGTTTTCCCCTGTGAACTTTTGTGACCTTTTTAATTCCAGGTATGTTGGGGGGATTTTGCTGCAGCTCTATAAAGGTGAAAAAGGATGAAGCTGAGAAACAAAAGTCAGCTGATGATTTCTTTTTGTGGGCAGTAAATAAATAATAGGAACTAGGAATGCTGACAAGTTTGCCGGCGCTGTCAGGGTTTTTAAATGCAAGTTGATGACTAAAAGCTGCTGTGCTCGGTTCATACATACTGTCTGTGTCTGGTTAAGAAGTCAGATGGTTCGTGAGCCAATCCTGTGACTTCTGCCGGCCCAGAAGATTTTGTTCTCGAACATCAGCAAGTGTGGAGAACTGATAAGATTACAGTCTGAGCAGTAACGTCGGCCTGTGCTGAACAGGAAACAGCCGTGGAGGACTCGAGGTTCTGCTCTGTTAAGTATATCATTTTTCTGTGTTTGCTGTTTCGGTTTGTCCTCGCCGATAACCCTGTGATCTGAAAAGACCGGCGTGTGGTTTGTCGACCTGAGTGAAGGTAAATAGATCTCTTCAGCTCGACTGTAGTGTGTTAATTAGTTTGCGCAGGGTTTACTTTAAGCAACGGGGAATCAAACTAAATACTACAGACGATTTGAATTTAAACAAAGGCATAATAGAGCATTGTTGAGGTAGAATAAACATTTCTGCTGCAGTCTCCTCCCTCGTCAGCTCAACCTGTTGCCTCATCATGAAAATCCTCTTTTCTTTGCTTGCTCGGGCTTTGTTTTCTTCTCAGGGATTTTTTTCGTGTGTCCTAAACAACTCGCTGTAATCTCCTTGCACAAATGCATAATAATGGAGACCTTGTTTTCTGGATCTAAATGCTCTGCGATACAGCGTTCACCTCTAGAAAGTTCTCCTTTCTTTCCCTCTGATGCCCTTAACTTAACTCGTCTGCCTCTCATGTGTCTTTCATCCCTCTACGCCCTGCCTCGGCTAAAGCTCTCATGTCACTTGCATTAGACAGCCCTTGTCTTCGCCTTATTTTTATTTATTTTTTTCCTCTCCCCCCGTGTGTCTCTGTCTTCTTTTCTTTGCGGACCGGATGAACCACACAGGGCGCTTCACCCTCTCGCCACCGCTCGCTGCCACTTCAGTTTCTCTTCTGGCGCCGCCCGGCGTGACTGACAGCCATCGATCGAACCTGTCCATGTGTATCAATCTCTCTCTGTGTCTCTGCACCCCTTCCTTGTGTTTAGGTAAGTGATGGAGACGAGAGAGTTGAGCGTGGTGGCTGGCAGCTTCGTGGGATTCCAGCTTCTCTTCTCGGTGGCCAGCCCGCAGCTCTCCTCCGCCATCACGCCGGGTTATGGACAGCTGCCTGTCGGGAAGCTCACTGAGTGGAACTCCAGGTTGGTCACAGGAAGCCGCTGCTCTTCCACCGTAGACAGTCCTCCTCTTATCTGTCCTGTAAATGTGTTTTCATCTATGTGGAAACCAGAGCCGGACTTTCTCCTCCCCCCCACACACACGAACATATTGGATGGGAAAGTAAAGCCATCAGTGCTTTTCTGTTTGACTTAGTTGTTTGATTTTTACTTAAATATTTAAACTTGCCATCGTAAAATCGTACCAAAAGCCCGCTAAGACAAGGCCTGCAACTAATGATTATGTTCATAGTAGATTAATCGTTTGATAATTTGTCGAATTGTTTTGTAAAATGGTGAAAATGTCGATCAGTGTTTCCGAGACGTTATCATCAAATGTCCTGCTTTGTCCACAACCTAAAGATGTTCAGTTTGAATCATAGAGGAGGATACAAACCTGAAAATATTTATGTTTCTGAAGCTAAAATCAGAAACGTTTTTGTTCTGACAAAATAGTCGAGACTTAGGCCTCCACACGTAGCACAGTGTCTCACAAAACAAAGATGTTTTTCTACGGTTCGTCCTGTCATCCACATGAAAACACAGATTTACGGCGTCAAAAACGAGTCTTTCAAAAACCTCGGAGCAAAGGGAAGATTTGTGAATCCTCCGTTTATGCATGTGGACGTCAATAACCGGGGTTTTAGGTTTCGAAATGTCCAGCGTGTTTACATTCGGAAACGGCGTGGATGCCCTCAAAAGTGTGTTGGCGTTGTCTCTTGTCCAGGTGCTTTTTGCTTGCTTGTCTTTACTGCTTCATGTACAAGAACTCAGGCGAAAGATGACATTAAGGATGGTTATTTCACAACACCGAGAGGCTGAAGCTTACTCTGATTGGACAGGATTTGTGGAACTACTGCCACCTAAAGGTTTGACATGCTCATGAATGTGCTTCACAACACACTTACGTGGTGTGAAGGGGGAGGATATTCGGTTGTATAAAAACCCTGCTACGTGTGGACAAGGCTTTAATCGATCGTGAGAATAGCAGCCAATTAACTTAAAGGTCCCATATTGTGTAATTTAATATCTAATCTAATCTCACATGTTGCGCTTAAGATACTGCAAAGACGACTGTATAGCTGTTTTTACGGCTGTTCTGAATAATTTGCCCTGGTGCTGTTTTGTGCCCCCTTTCAGTAAAGAAGTCTGTGAATCACGCTTTAAGCTGGGCCACTATTGGTTAGCTAGGCGTTACGTAGCACCTGGGTCAAATTCTTCCTGGCCTGTAAAGGTGGGAGGCTAAATAGCTGTGCGGGCACTTGAGGAATGGCAGACGGAAACATCTGAACAGCTTTTAGTTTACACCTCCGGGCTATAACGAGCGCAAAATGCGACAAAAGTGGAGTTTCACCGTGCGGGACCTTTTAGTCGCTGATAGCACTTCCTTAGAACGCCGTGGTTGCATACATGCTGACCACACTGACCTCCGCTAGGCCAACATGAGTGTTTTTTTGCGGCGCTTCTCTGTTGAAACCCTCAGGCCAACTCATCCTTCCACACAACTACAGCTGTGTTTTGAGCGAGCACAGAGTGGTTTAAAGTTTCAAGCAGAGGAACCTCAGGGGTGAAGTTCAGAGGGCAGTAATTTGTAGTTGCGTAACGTCTTTCACCGACTATGTTAAACGCGTTTTTCGTCCTCTCTCGCTCTCTCATCTGTTTGTTGGCTACCAGCACTCCGAGATAACCCTTCGTTCATTCAGCTGGGGGTTTACATTAGCCCGTTTGTCCGTCATCGAAAGAAAGGAGTGCATTGACCAAGGAGCCCAAAACAAGTCAAAGGCAAAGCACTGATGGTTCACTTTAGAGTGGTCCAGTGTTGCGTAACAGCCGGCTCTCAGTATGTCAGTGTGTTGTTTATGTAACCACAACTTAAGTGCAAGGAGAGGAGGGAGAAAGCATTTCCAAAGAAAGAGCAGTCTGCAGTATGAATTACAGGATGAGTGTTGTGGTGCCTTTCTTTCTGTCTATCTCATGTCCCTTTTTTTTTTACTATCTCGTCATCGTGTTGTTATTGTGAGTATAAGTTGTAACTTCTCAACAAAACAACAAGCAGAGGGAGATTCATAACATATCCTACGCAGATGGCCGTATTGGCAGTCAGGTTCACCAACTTCCTTGTTCCACTTAGATACTTAAGCATGGTAATAATAGACTCATAAAGTGGCCCGTCTGCCAAGCCGGTTTTGGCCGGGGCTCATTCCTGCAGCTGCAGCCTGTGGACAGGGACCAGAGGTTGCACAGTGACGCTGGAGAAACTGCGATTCTGGTGGAGGGGAGATAAGAGCCACTGGACCTCTGGAGTATCTCTTCAGCGGTCCAGATAACCACTCCAAAGGTCGGGGTGATGCTGTCCAAGGCCCGATAAAAAGAATTTACACTCACTCGGACACGGAGGACAAAAGCGATATAATTACGTGCCGTATGCAAGCATGAGCACACGTGTATAAGACAGACTAAAGATTACGTAAAAGTCCTGACTGTAAACCTGCGAGTGTGTCATCGTGGTTGCTGATCTGATCTGATCTGTGTGTGTGTCTGTCCTCAGGTTGGTGTCCACCGTGCACGCCTTGATTGTGGGCTTGTTCTGTTTGTACATCCTGTGGTTCGACGATGCGGTCAACGCCAACCCTGTCTGGTAAGAGGAAAAAGATCATTAACAAAATAGCCATAGTGAAATAAGATGAGATAATTTGTAAATAGGGATGTTTTGAGGTGGAGAAACGGGTCTTATGTGACTTGTAGGGGGAAAAAAACGCCCTAAAAGTCACGTTGATTCAGTTGTAAACGCATCAGATTGATCCAAGCAGCTCAAAGACAGACATCCGGATCTGAACACAGAATTCAAGCTGACAGAGTTTCAGTTGGGACTTTATATTAACCCTTTCGACAGCCCGCTATACCGGTCTGTGCCTTTCACCCCATCTACCCTGCAGCCTGAGATAGCGGCTCCGGTGTATGGCGACTTTCTGTTACATTCATTTTATTGGTCTATCAGTGGGAATCCCTGCATGTGAACAAGTGATTCAATCATGAAATAAATTATGCTAATAATAATAATTGCATACAGGGTTGTCGCCAGCATCATAAAAGAGTAACGACCCGTTACGCTGCTGCCTGAAAAAACTACGCTGCAAATTGGGCCGATGCGCTGTTTTCAAGGGTACATAATGGGAAAATATTTAACAACAAACGCTGACGGAGTTTCACTACCGTTGCCTTTGCTGCTAGTCGCTAGCATCGCCGCTAACTGTTAGCAGCATTCGACGACGACGACAACCCTTCCCCTCTGGTATGCTGCAAAGGAATCCTGGCATGTAGGCATATATTCCTAGTAATTAAAGCCAACGTTACCTAGTGTTGAAAGGGTTAACAACACGTCACGTAACGTCAACGTTCACGAAGGCTAACGGTACAAGTAGCTTGTAATGAGAGATGGATGCTGCGGCTAACGCTAGCAGAATACATATAGCGGTACGAGTGTGTGCAGCAGCCTTTGTGGTTTTCCTAATGGTCTTTTCACAACTTTAGCATGATGTTAGGCAGGAGAGACCAACACACACACACACACACACAGTCGACTCCATCAGAGTCCCACAAACTATGACAAAAACTCACATTAAGAAACTGGATGAGTGAGTTTTATGTCTGTTTTAAATACTTGAGGGCTACATTCCACTGTTTAAATTCTTCCTATACTTAATATACCTCCGCGATTTATTGTTTGCCTTCTTTTTTCTTTTTCATATACCAGGCAGCAGTAGAAATGCTACGCCACTCGTAGAACTTCAGCGGTACCGACTACCAAATTTCTGATATCGCGTCGTCCTTATTTGAAATCGTATGAATGCTTCTGTTTGTTCGGTTTAAAAAGCCAAAAAGACGACGTTTGTCATTTAGGCGAGATGAAAAACCAGAGCGGTGTGAATGCTCCGGGCGCTTTTAGGAGAAACTCTCACATCTGCCTTTTCAAAACTGGCAACGGGCTCACACGGGGAGGATGAAGGAAACGATGGGGAGGAATCGTCAGGGTTTGGTAGGTAATACCTTTTTCGGAGTGACAAAGATGGCGTTCCCTTCATCAGAAAGAAAAGGAGCGGGAGGGAGTGGAGGCGAGAGGATGGATCCGACGTGTCAGTGGAGCCTCCAGAGATTTGTAGATTCAGTGGATTTAGCCTTTGATTTTTTTGTCTTCACTGTCTTCTCTCTGCTTCTGTCTTCCACTCTCTCTCTCTCTCTCTCTCTCTCTCTCTGCTACTGCTGACTGTGTTATTTGCATCAATGAATCCTGAAAAAGCGACATGGTAATTTCTCTCCCTATTTCCAATATCTCAATCTAAAGCATTTCTTTTCTGCTCTCTCTCACTATCTCACTTCTCCCCTATATTCTTACAACACTTCCTCTCCTCTCTCTCCTCGTTTCCCTTCTGTTTCGCTTCCTCTCTGGCTGTCTAGCAGACTAGAATCCCACCAACAAGACTCCTTTTCACGGCAAACAACGGCAGCCTAAGTCTTCTGCCCAACCCCCTTCCCCTCGCCTCCCCCCTTTACACCAGCAGCCCTTGTGAGCCTCCCCGCCCCTCCTGCCTCTAGCTGTCCGTTGTACCCCCACATCTCTGGCTGTCGAATCAATGCAGCACACCTCCCTCGCTTTTATCTGTCTGTCGGCCCGAGCCAGCTCCGCCGATGGAGCAAAAATAAAGGAAAGAAAAGAGAAAGTAGGGGTGGTTGGGGGGAGGTAGTCTAGCAAGAGGGGAGATGGGGGGCTTCTCTCCCGCCTCTTGCTACCAAGCTTCATCTGTTCAGGTGCTCGCTATCTTAGCCGACAGGATTTTTTTCTGTCACATAATTCCCCCCCTGGAGAAAAAGGTGACAGTCGATTTCTTTTTTCCCAACTTTATTTCTTCACCTTCTTTATCCTCGTCACCTCGCCAATCCCAAAGCCTTAAAGCCGGAGTGGCGCAAGCATTAACGCTCCAGTCAATCTGATTGTATTACAGCATCATTAAGACCCGTCACACAGCAGCATTGTTCTCTCTCTCTCTGTCTGCTGTTCCCGGTCAGGCTCGAGTGGCTCGAGAGCGGCGCCGTTGGACCCCGGCATTGTTTTCCCGCCGCTGCTCGGGCTCTTTCAGGGTGTCGCTCCGGCTGGCGGCGCAGACCCTTGGCCGTTATCATAATCCGTCCGCTCAACAAGCAGCGCGTCTGACGGCCTCGCCTCTGCCGCGTTTCTCGATTGGCTTATCTGGACTTGAACCCAACATGTGCTGCGAGAAGAACGGAAGACCGAGTTTCAGGGTTGCGTTAAGTCGAGGTCGACCTGGTGCAAATCTGTTACGTAGCGCTGCCTTCAAAGACACTGAAGAACAGCTTCATAGTCTTGAAAACCTCTTTCTGGGGTGTTTGTTTGAGGCTCGCTTAACTGTGCAAACTTGCCATAAATTGCTGACTTCAACTTGACGGATGCCATCTGTTCGCGAGTAGGTGAGAGTGTTTATGAACGTTTATCGTTAGCATAGCTGACACCCACAAAATGCTGTATGATTTGCTCCATTTATTCACAAAGCAGAGTTTTTTTGGGGGGTGACAAAACAATAATCACAATCAGTCTATGTACAGCAAAGGGCGCAGAAATCAGGCCGAAATCTGTGCATGGTCGTGATATTTTTCACAATTTCATAAACAAAATGTCAATTAAGCTTGATTAAATGGTCATTCTAGTCTTTTGCGTAGCTGAAACCTCTTTAGGGGAGCACCAAAAGCTAAAAAAAAGAAGGATTTCATGCCACAAAGCTTGAATTTACGCTGTGAGAACTCAGCTGAGTCATAGCGGGGGGGCGGCTTGTGAAAACATGGTGTTGACAGATGAGGTTGGACGGCCAAACAGGTCTTACTAAAGGTGCCTGTGTCCAGCTGTATGACGTAAACAGAAGACGTGCAGCCGATGTGTGGTAAAGCACAGCGCTAAATACAACATATATGTACCTCCACAGGGTTTTTCCCACCACAGACTGTATGGGAAAGATGGAAGCAGCCACCGATCTGTCTGGTTTTTAAAAAGCAAAGATGGGGGATGGCTTCGAAACAGTCGTCCACAAACCTATACTTTGACGTCAGCGTCGCTGCGTCCATCTTTTATATACGGTCTTCGGGTTCCCCACAAACTCCTTTCATGTTTCGCCTCCGTAATTTTGGTTTCCGTGTGTGTACTTCTTCCCTAAACGTCGTTCCGATGTTGTTTACGTGGTAGCTGGTGTGTTCTGTGTCATTAGATGTTGTGTTCTGAGTAGTTTGTAGACCCGGTTAGCATCGTGGCGCTGTAATCCTGAAGCTCCGACGCTGGGAGCATTCTGCCACGAACAATTTTCTACGGACCGGTAATAGCAGCACATAACAAATAACTGTTTTTTCTATTTTAAAAAAGTGTCATAAACGAATCAAATTACTTTTTATTGCTAAATAAGCATTGACTATTTCTTTTTGTCTCAGGATCTCATCCTGTTTTCAAAGACGCTCTCCAGAAAATTTGCTTTTTTTTACTCATTTCTACGGAGCGCGTCTGGTGACATCGATAAGAAGTAAAGATAACTCGTTCCCACGCATTAGTACATCGTGGCCACGAGTTATGAATGCATGGGAATGAGTTATTTTATTTTATTATCACACGGTGTTTCATCGCAAGAGATCGCAGGATATCGCTGTAGTTCATTCCAAGGTTAAAGTAAAATCAAATCAAATCAAAGCTCCATGTTTCATGCAAGTACGCTCGTTATCCTTAATCCACAGTTGGTATGACCGACCGCACTGTGAAATTTGCTCCAAAACCTCTCTTGTTTCTTCATATTAGGAATGCGAGGCCACAATTTAACTCTGTCGTTCCCATGCATTGATAACTCGTGGCCACGATTTGCTAATGCGTGGGAACGAGTTATTTTTCCTTCTTATCGATGTCACCAGACGGGCTCCGTACATTTTGGTTAGAACAGATTTTAACGGCCGGGCATGAAAACCGACCGAGACAAGCACAGCTGGAAGTGACGGGAAGACGAGTGTTTTTCAAAATAAAACACCCTGCGGACTCTGCCGGAAACAAAATAAAACGTTTTCATTCTCTCTGTGCGGCCTGGTAGCGGTCCGCGGGCCGGTGGTTGGGGACCACTGAAATAGAGGACGTTCCGCTGAGCGACCTGCACGAGGAAGAAAGAGGGTCAGAGTTTTCCTACCACCTGCTGAATTGCTCCTATAATGCTGAAATATTAATGCTCATAGAATTTTAAAAAGGTAAACTAGCAAACCGTGATGCACGTGAAGCTGATACGGCTAACAGGATGTCCAAAATATGATTCAGATTCCAGGGTTATAATTCAAAAAGTTAGGATTTTGATGACAGGCCGCGAATTCTAAGCACAAGAGAACCACCTAACCACCTCTACGTAGGCTGAATTCCAGTCAGTTACCCGTACAGTGAGAAAAGACCGTGGCTTTCTGTACATTTAATAAACGGAAGCCGGATCCCGCTGATACGATTACGGAGAACGCTTTGGACTCCGAGACGGCAGCCTGCAGACTCTCTCCGACCGGCGCGCTATCACTTAGGTTGGGCGCTGTCCAACCCGATATTTCGCTCGCTGCGTTTTCTGTCTTGAGTGCGGCGGTAAAGCGATACGACTGATCGGTTAACAGCAGGAGCGCTCCCTTGTGAAACAAACATTAGATGAGATACATAATCGGAGCCAGAGAAACCGAATGCATCGTTGGGAGCGTGACCGGCCTGAAAAAAATAATAAAAATTGCTGATTAAGTTATGGACGGAGTTGCTTGTTCGAGACGCCTCGAGCTGTTTGAAGAAGCGCTTATGTCACATGTTTATGAATGGGCCGCTTCAGATCACTCGTTTGTCCTCAATAGAGCAAAGCAGGACAGCTGTTCTTTATTCTGCACATTTTCCATGAAATATGGAGGGTAAACTTTGACCGTGGCGAGCGCAGGGTCACGCCGTGGATAAGGTTGTACAGTACGCTAGTGTGTGTGTGTGTTGGGAGGTCTTGTTACACGAGCGGTCAGCCAGTCGTTCGCTATACGATACCTGTGACTGATACCAGAATCGGATGTCTATTGAAGCCGAGACACCTCCATTGTTATTTTGAACAGAGGTTATTTGCAAGGACACCTAACGGTCACCGGAGCAGGTCGGGACGGGCGGGGTGGTCTATTCACCGAGCGACTGATTACTGCTTATTAAGAGATGCTTAACAAATGCAGTTAGTAACGCGGGTTTCTCCTTTCAAAGAGCCGTTTGTCAAAAAAACTTCTCCTTCGGCCTCGCCCGCACGCCGTTCTCTTTAATCAAGACCTCACCACCGTGCAAGTGTATCATCAACGTTAGCCAATCAACCTTGAGCGACCTTTCCACATGATTAGCGTGTTAGCGGCTAATTAGTCTGCATCATGTTTTCTCAGTCGAAGGCAGGCTATCGATTAGAGCAGAGCGGCGTTTTTCTAGAATACTAACCAGCTTTCCCCTCCTGGCGTGTTTACCTTGAACGTGACGGTGTCTCCGCTGTGTTTAAAGTGCCCTTACACCGTGTCGTTTGCTCTTCCCACAGGGGCGACCCCACTCTCGTCAAGCTAAATGTAGCCATAACCTGTGGTTACCTCCTTTACGGTGAGTGTTTGCTTTTTCCCCTTTTTAATTCCTGTTTTGCGTTTCCTCTCACACGCAAGCAATGAGTCACGTTAATTCCTGTACACACACATCTCAAAACAAATATTAGAACTCGTTCCAGGCCGACTGATGTAACCCTCCCGGTTCATGTTGTGATTTTTTTCTTGGAAGAAGGCTTGTCGAGTTGCAAAATCCTGGAGCTCTACTCCAAAAAACTGTTGCTGTAGAAGCTTTGTAAACATAACATTTATGGCAGAGCTGTTGTGCTGCGTTGCATCGACCAAAATAAGCAGCTGGTAAGTGTAGGGATCACACAGAGAGAAGCAAATACATACGTTAACTATGAAAAAAACATTGAACGTAATGGAAAGTATGAGAAATAAGAATAAGATAGCGTTTTGTTTTAATTTGTTATATATCTGTGATGACTTTTGGCACAACTTTCAAGGAATTTTAATTCATCTTTCAAGAATTTACAGTCAAAATATCTTAAATGTGTTTTATTTCAGCTCAGAAGCTGTTTAGAAAGATCTTTGGCAATTAGTTTTTATGAAATGAAATGAAAAATACTTTATTTATCCCAGAAGGGAAATTCAATATTGTAAAAGCTCACTTTTTTTTTAAATCAATATAACATATTTTATATTATATTATATTTTATGCAGGACCAAATAACTTATAGATATGATGGAACTTTAATGACAGCATCTACATTTAAAATATGAAAACTAGTGCAGATTTAGGTTTAGTTGACTGTAAAACATTAACTGTTTAGTCGCAGATTATTGTCACGGTTTTGTGGATGTTCAGGAGTGTAAAATAAAAGGCTGGTGATGCCTGAGCTTCAAAACTAGATAATTAAATAACTTCTTGGCATCGAGCTGGAAGATTTTGCGAGGTAACGTGAAGTCAATAAAACATTTCACAGGATCTTATTTTCAAGAAAATTCATCTGCTTAATGGCAACGCCGGTCATGTTTGGCTAAATGCCCTTTAGCAGCTTTAGTGCTTTAATATTTGAATTTACAGGTGCACTAATAAAACAAATCAGTCAGAAAGAATATTTCATGTTGTTTATGAGTGTTTTTTCAATCCATACATACTGGAGCTGTCTTGGTTGTTTTCTGTAGATATTCTCTACAAAACCTTTGAAACCTCTGATTTACTGTAATTATTATTATTATTATTTATATATTGTACAGCTGTGAGGGAATCTGCACCTTTTAAATGATTGTTTATTAGCTCAAAGTGAACAAAAGGAATCAGAAAATCCTGTTTTGTGGAGCCTCCACTCACTGGTTTAGAAGCTAAAGGGTTTGACGACAGTTTAGATTTCAGATTATAGCATTTGTCTGCCCTCATGTTTTATTTATTTAATCAAATACAGCAGCACCAGTTGAAGGGTTCTTGTTATGTCCGAGACCGTTCCCTCTGACTCCTGGACCACCCGTGTGACCAGTGTTTCCCCCTTTTTCTCTCTAGACCTCGTGCTGCTAGCATGTAACTGGAGCACTATGGGGGACAGCTTTTTCGTCTGCCACCACTTGGCGGCGCTCTACGCCTACGGATATGTGTTGGTGAGTCTCATTGTTTCAGGAAAATGTAGATAGAAGTTGTGCTATTCGTAGCTCCAGCTGTCTTCACGGTGATCTGTTTGGTCGTTGCAGACACGTGGCGTGCTTCCCTACTTTGCCAATTTTCGTCTCATTTCAGAGTTGTCCACGCCGTTTGTGAACCAAAGGTGAGTCGGCCTCTGTTAGTCAGCATTATCTAGGATTCACGTATCTTTGTGCCTGACTTTTCTCAATCGCCTTTTCCCTCCAGGTGGTTCTTTGAGGCATTAAAGTACCCCCGCTCACACCGGCTGGTGGTGTTAAACGGCGTGGCCATGTCGGTGGTGTTCTTCCTGGTGCGCATTGCCGTCATGCCGTCCTACTGGGCCAGTGTGTTCGCCACTTTCGGCACGCCGGAGTTCGACCGGCTGGGTCTGGGCGCTCAGGTGGCCTGGATCACCTCCTGCATCGCCCTGGATATCTTGAACACTATCTGGATGTATAAGATCACCCGCGGCTGCTACAAAGTCCTGACGGGGAGAGGAGGGCGGAAGGCGAAGGAGGGAGCGGCGGCGGCGGCGGCGTCTCCCTCGGACAAGAAGCACGTCAACAACCACACAGACTGAAGAGATTAAGAGCAAAAAGGATATGTAGACGTGAGCAGGGAGGGAGGCTGGACGCCCAGGAACCTCACAGCCTCTCTCTTCTGCGTCCCCTCCCACCCCCCTCCTCACCCACCCACCCTCAGTCTCAGCCCTTGATCTCCTTGAAGTCGGCTAGCGGACCGGGCTAAGAGTCCTCAGGTTCTGACCGCGACACGGGACAAGGAGACTGCTCTTTGACTCAAATCAAGCACCAGCGCTCGCAGTGTTTTTCACTGACAGATTAGCATCCTGCTGGGCGATAGCTTTTCGGTCGCAGACGACAAGGTACAGCTCACAAGCACACTTTTACCACCATCTGTTCTACTCGCCTCTCCTGTCACCGCCACCACCACCGCTCCTCTGTCGTCTCCTCTTAACACTCGACTTCAGCCAAAGCCCAATCCTCTGAAGTGCCTGTGGAAAACAGGAAAGCAATAACAGTGGAGGATCACTAACAGAGTTTAGCCCCTTCAGAAGATCTCACTCACTCACCCCCTAAACAACTTCTTCTTCTCATTCTGCACCCACACCGGAGGAGACGTGGCCTACGGAGGGAAGGACTCTGGCGTCAGATCCATACGGTGTTTGTGAATCTATAGGGCTCTTGTCTTAAACTCATCAAAACCTCACGAAAAAAGAGACAGAAAAACACCATAATGCCTCTTCTACAGTATCACCTGCTGTGGCCTCCTTGTAACAAGTGGCGCCTACCTATATCACCAGCCATGCCCCTCCAAGCTCCTGACGATTTGGATTTTATATTTAGAACACTAAGAATTATGCATGCAGGGGAGAGAAAGACGCCCTCTCCGACATCCTTCAGCTTCTCGCAGGACGGTTTGTCAGTATTCATCGTGGTGGCATCGCTGTGCTTTTTTTTGTCAGTTACACTCGTCTTTAGTGAATCCATGGCAAACCTCTGCCTCACTGGGTAGGGCTCCGCTATCCAACTTGAACGTTTTTGTTCTACCTCTCCCTCTGCCTTACAAAAGACTGTGTCAGTCGATTCCTCATGAGTTAATCAGCTGTGTTGTTGTTTATTCTTTTTCACTTTCTGCTTCAAAAACATGATCTGTTGTGATATCACTGGCTCGGAGGGACTTCTTCTTCCCCTCCCCGTCCCTTCCTCTTCCCTCTTAACCGTCTTCGGAGCTTATTCCAACAGAGCAGCATCACTTTAGTGCATCGACACCCCCAGAGGCTTCTTCCATGTATCTCCTCTGTTCTCAGAGAACCTAGCAGAGGAAGGGGAAAAGTTCACACGCACATGTTTTATTCTCAAGTTTTCACGTGCACAGGTAGCGTGCAATCAACACACTGTATTTGGTGCCCTTTTAAAACGCCAACATGGTGCTCGTCGTCCTTTTGCAGAATGTCAGCAACGGGAATGCTAGCAATATACCGTTTTTTTTTTTTCTCTCTCTCTCTCTCCGTCGAGTAATTCACTCGGACGTACCCGACGTGTGATCGAACGCAACGTGGCAATCTGCATGTGTGTGTTTTCTTTTTCTGTATAAACTGTAAAATCATCACTGTAGAGCATGGTAACATATTTCTGTGATGCCTTAGTGACTAGTCGAGATAGATGAACGACATCTAAATATTAACTGCATTAATCAAAAATGCTTACAAAAGGGGGGGTTTGTCTTCCAAAATGTTTCTTCCTCTCAGAGCATACTCAAAAAGCATGTACGTATAGAAGTTTTGGATTATTTCTCCTCCTCCTCCTCCTCCCTGCATGTCTGTACAGTATATACGCATACAGCAGCGTCTGCAGGCTGTATGTCCAACTCACTAAATGTTACCGCATTCTCTGTACGCCGGTCGGCTCGACTTACTTTTTACAGGTTCATTAACAGTCTGCCGTCAGCGGACTCTAATAGCTGATGTCGTGACAGACAGAAACACAGGCGGCGTTTCAGGTTTGGGTTTTTATTTTGTTTTGCCTCACGTGTAGAAATAGACGATCTGAAATGAAACCTACAAAGGATAAGTTTGTACTCTGCTGTTTACTCGTGTTTTCGATGGAGAGCGCTCCACCATTTTAGCGCCGCCGGACGGTTTATTAATTATTAACCGGAAAAATCTATGTTTCAGGATTTGCATGTCTGAAGCGGATCGGCGCCAACCCCCACAACGAGTCATCAGGAAGTCTCGTCATGACTTTACAAAAATTTCTCTGGAGTGGAAGTCCTGGTGGTTCCCAAAAATGGGGGTCGGGGACCCCCTTGGAGGTCATCAGACGCTGAGTCGGGGCCACAAACAAATTTAGAAAGGGTGTGTTTTGGCCATGAGACGAAACAGTAGTTATGGTTGAACATTTGATCAATTTTGAAACGCTGCACCTTAAACGTTTTCCGTCTGACCCGGTGTTTAAACTGTCAGTTCTTTCTACAAACTCCTGGCGTCATCCTTGTGTGACCTACTCGTGATGGTATCTCATGAGGTAATTCTCCATCACGGGGTTTTAAAGCTGCAAAGCAGAACCGAACCGAAGCTTCACTTTAAAATAATATAAATCAAAGTGACGCCTACATTACCCAGCATGCAACTTGACCATTGAGCTTGTTGCTAGCCTCGAGGTTCGACATCCATTTTTTTGTTCTTCCTTCTCTACCTACACAACCAGACTTTGATGCGCTAAACTGGTGGAGTCCTCGTTTTTTTTTTGAGAACGCGTGGATCGGTGTCGTCACTGTGGAAATCTAAAGCACACACACTCCCTGTGGAGCCGTAAATCTCTGTGATCTCCCCGTGTTTCTGTCTGTCACCACAAAGGAGGGGCTACAGTATCTTGTGCCTTTTTTACACAAAATCGGTGGATGTGATGCAGTCAAGATTTGGATTCGCATGAACTTTCTAATGTAATATCAATAGGTGATTATCTTCCTCTGTATTCCTCGCGTATACTCTTGTGTATATATTTTTATAACCTGCCTGCACAACGATTAATCCGGCCAAGTATTATAATCCAAAGCTGATCCCTCCTGGGGAGCCTGTTTTGTGTTTCGATTTTTTTTTTTTTTTTCTCGTGCTCTCCCGAGTCGAGGGGGTATGTCTCTGAATGTTGCGATAGGTTATTTTAGTGGCATTAAGATGATCTCACGTTTGTCCGAGGCGACGCGAATGGAAACTATATTTTTTTTTCTTCGACGTAAAACTCTATAAGCTATACAGGTAGTCGACGGGAAGGCTGACATCTCATTTCTCTGGCCTCCTAAACTCAAAGCTGTGAAATATTCAGTCGGGGAAACTCCGGAGCGTGGGAGACTTTTACTGAGACTCGGCCGACTGTGCTCTCTGGATGTCTTTTTGAGTTTAGACTGAGACCTGACCCCGTTGTCGGCGTCGGGTCTCGCGCACAAAGTAGAAAGTTAACACATCTAAGAAGTACGTCGCCCGGTTTGTCCGCGGACTGAGTTTTTGTACTCGTCAGGGTTTTCTACAGAGTCTATATATCTGCGCTCCATCTCACACCCTGTTTGGAAACAGTTCGATTCGGCTGCTGTCGTACGGCCACGATCTCTGTACTAAGTATTGTATCAGGTTAGAACTACCAAATGGCCTCTGTGTCTTTGGGGGAGGCCTGTTCATTATATTCTACGATATTTAAATATATATATCAAAAAAAAAAAAGAAGGTATATATGAGTCACCTTAAGATCCTTCCCTGTGATCAAAGTATTGACCTCGTATCGGTACAATAAAAGCAAAGCTGCACCTGAATCTGGTATTTAAACGGTGGTTACACACGGTACGGTCATTTTTATTTTGCCCCATTTTTTTGTTTTTCTTAAGTCTCTGATTTTCAAATTTGATCGTGTGTGTACAATGAAATATAATCAACTGAATCTCAAGGATGACAGCGTTTGTATACTGTTTAAAAAAAACAAAAAAAAAGATAATCAAATGACTTGCCAGTTTTGTTGTTTTTCCTGTGAATGACTTGCCAGTGTGGCTTCTCTCTTCCTTTTTTGTCTTTTTAAATGCAATGCAATTTCTTGTCATGATCTGTTTATTTCTTTTCTTTCTGGAGATTTTAATGTGAAGCAGCCTACACTACTCGCCGCCCTCGGTGGGGTTTGGGGGGGTGTTCTTTGTCTGAGCGGTTACCTTGTGGCTCGGACTGTTGTCGTCTACAATGACCACTACTAATGATCACGTAATTGTAGTGCTGAAAGCTGAGACTTACTTGAAAGTGTTGTTCTTCAATAAAGTTGAAGACTATAGAACGTAGGTGGTGGACTCTCATTGTGACTCCAAATGCTTTTCTTCATTCCCGTTACAAATAAAAACCCGGATAAGCAACAAAACAATGACATCACATGAAAGTTAGTGTCTAAAAAATGGGAAGAAGTCGGCGGTTCTTGGAGCTTTATCTCCTCGGGCAGGTTGTTGTGAAGCCGAGGGGCCCTGATGGCAAAAGCGCTGTCACCTCAGATTTAAGCTTTCACTTTGGAACAGCCAGAAGGAACCGGAGAACTCGAGCTGTGAACCGGCTCACGTGGGGTCAACACCTCTGCTGTGTAGCTTCTGACCCAGATGTGCAGTAAAAGTGATCAGTGAAATCTCAAAATCAGCTGTAAAGTGAACAGGGAGCCAATGGAGTGAAGCCAATATAAGATAAGATAAGATAAGATATGCCTTTATTTATCTCACAGTGGAGAAATTCACATCGTTGATAGCAGCTTTCAACAGAGGTACACATATACGAGACAGGAAAAAATAAAAAATGTACATATAAATATAAGAAATATATATGATATCTGCAACAAAAAAAAAAAGCAAAGCTGCTGCAGTAGAACTGAAAACTGAGAGAATTAGAGGGTCTAATCTGGAGAAAATGAAAGAGGTAGGAGTGTGAAAGCATTTGGGTAATTTGAGATATGTATCTGAACTTAAGGAATCAAATAGCACTCCCAAATTACTAATAACATGCTTCACATTATCAGACTACGGGACCAAAGCTGCCCTGAATAGGACGAGTAGGATTGGGGATTTAGACTTATTGAGTTATTGAGAACAGTTGACTTGTCTGAGACAATATAAGACAAAAGCTAGGGAGGTTTTTGGATCACTAGGTGAATCTGTGTGTCTCCTGCATAGCAATGATAAATACATTAAGATGCGTGGAAGCATATAAATAGAAAACAAAAGTGGGCCTCAGATTGAACCTTGCGGAACGCCACAGCTAATGTGAGGTGTAGGAAATGGTGACGGAAGAGCTTCTTCTTCTTTTTCTCCAAACAGGTAGCAATGCAAACCAGCACCAGAGCAGTGTCCTCGATGTCAACCCAGGTGTCAAGATGGTGAGTTATAAATAGCATAAACTAAAAAGATTGCTCAAAAAGTTAGAAGACTGTTTCTAGAAAAGCAAAAGCCATAACTGTCTCAAATCCCTGTCGAAGCGATCTCAGCGCTTCTGCACAGTTTACAACACTCTCTGGAAGTACCATTATGTCAGTATGTCAGTATTTCTGTGTCAAAATGTCGACCCTTAAGCTTGAATTTCATTTTTGGGGAAGAGGAAGAAAGTTGCAGCCAAATCTATTGAGTAGGGTGAGTGGAGATGTGATGCTGATAGTGAATTCTCAAAAATGTTGTTGTGGCACAGAAAACCTCAAAGATGGGAAGAAACTACTTTTGCAAAACTTTTGATGAAAATGGGAGTTTTGAAAGTGGCAGAAGGAACCGAGTTGAGTTTCTTTAAAAGCAGTTTGAGCACAGCTTGTTTAAAACGAGCAGGAAAAGTGCTTTTTGCTACGTAGCTGGTGAT